GAGCCTGACCACACATTTACACCTGTAACTGTCTCTTATGAATGTGACAGGAGTCCACCTCCAGAGGAACCAAAGCCTTCTTCACTCCATGAAAATATTTCTCTGATTGAGGTTTCTAGAGGTGGAAATAGTAATGTACCATCGGTTCCGCACTTTACCAGAACTCCTTCTGAAGTTTATCCTACGCAGTTGACAAAACCTTCAATTTCGAATGATGGTATTACAGTCACTTCTCTTAATTTCCTTTCTTGCTTTGCAGTAATCGGAAGCCTTCGTTGAAATCTGTAGTTTAAAGATTTATTTTTTCCTGTTAGGGAGTTTTTAACTTTCAAATACATAATTTTTAATTGTTCCAAGTTTTACCGCGTTATTTTGCAGATGGAAGCGGCATAAAAGAGATGCATCAATTATTATCGAAGTTTAGTAATATCCGTGAACAGAAAACTATGGCTGAAAATAAAGGTGAATGCATACCTGAGTTTGTTTTACCTTCGTCAGAAAAGCCGTTACCCAAGATTACTCCAAAATCAAAGGTGGAAACGGAGACAAAAGGGGGTTTCTTAAACAACTCCGTGACCAGAGACTCTGCCGAAATGTTGCGCACTCGGAAGTCTTCGCTCGTTACTGTCCCTAAGCCTCGCGATTTTTTGTCTTCAAACGTTCTACCACAAAAAGCAGTAAGGGATATTTCCTTCTGTGTGACATTATTAGATTAGTCGGTTTTAGAATCCGTATGAAGTTTTATATGGGATCTGCCGCGTAAATAAATGTTCTATCTGCAGTTCACTTCACGCTTTCTGTCATTGAGTTCTTTTCACCATTCTGCGAGCAACTAGCAAAGTTTCAGCCAGATACAAGCAGCATTGTTACACAAACGATGTCATCGGAACTTTCAAATGCTCTACCGTTCAGCAGTTCCACGTCGTCGAACATAACCTCTACGAGACCAAGTGTTTTCACTGTAACTATCGACGACATGTCGCGTAGACCTTCTTATTTGACTACAGGTACAGAAAGCAGTTTTATCTGTTGAACTGCGTACTTCTCCTTTGAAAAATTTACCACCTCTCATTTGAGTATTCATTTCAATCAGGAACTGTTTTTTTCCCATGAGATTAGGATTCTGAGTGCTAATTTGCTTTAAAAAATTTATTTTTTACGTTTATTGACAGGTATTTGTTTACTCAACTTCGAAAAAACCAGTCTTTTTCAAATTAATATTAGTATTCCAGCAGCTGTTTTCCCAATGGGTTTGTACTTTACAGAAGTGGACAATTCTTCAAAACAAAAAGGCTTACTTTTTTCAATTTTTACCTCAAGTGTAGATTCTTCCCGTTCTTAAGTAAATAGTTTTTGTTATTGTTTGAGATGAACAGTAAGATTGGTATCACTTTATGATTATTTTTTAATTTTAGAGTTTAAGGGTATCGTAATCTTTTGTTTAAGATGACATTACGACGTCTACTTTTTTGAAATGCGTAAACTTGGTTTAAGGTAGCTCGCTTTTGTCATGTCAGGAATTAAATTACAAGTGTAGGTTGTTGTGTTTTGTTGCAGTATACCGTCCGACGCATTGATTTTTGTTGCTGGTAACTTCGGTGGTACAGTTTTTTGCATTATTTACTTTATTACTTTCGGAGATGAAGTATTATGCCAGGAATTTATTATATATTTTAATGCGCATACATACTTCAGTAACAGCACTTTTGTTTTCAATTTTAGCGTTACTTGGGCTGATTTTTTGCTATCTAAACAGTCAGAAATCACCGCCATTGTTTACAGTTTACCAGCCTACGTACTGTTTTCACAATTTATTAGAGTAGGTACCTTTCATATTGGCTTTAGTTTTAGATCTTACCATGCTACTGCTTAATACTTTGCTCTTCATATAGTTTATTCAAAGAGGGTGCCCTTATAAATTGGCAGTAAGGAAAGCGGGGTAAGTGAACCCACAAAAAATATCTTTCGTCTAAAAATTTGTATATTTTTGTAGAAGGCTCTGGGAAAATGTTGGTTTCCAAACTTTTACAGACCATAATCTTTACCTATTGAGCTTTACAGATTTTCACTGTGTGCCATTGCATTATTTTTCACGTGTTGCTTATCATTATCCAATAACGTGAAGTAAGTTTGCTGTTGCAAACTGTAGTTTTTTTTTTTATCCGTTACTTGATGTTTGGCTTTGTGGTACTATCACAGCGTACTGCTGCTGTGTTAAATATAAATTATTTATTTTTATGATGCAGAGATTAATTGCTCGTTTACCAAATGTTCGCAAACATATACTTTTTAAAAGAGCTTTTTTTCTAAATGTGTTCTCTTGCTGAGGTGCTCTGTTTCACTTTTTCTATTGTATTGTAATTGGATTAAGAGTTACTGGTGCGTGCTTAGAATCTGAATTTTTCTACAAGGCGAAAAGAAAATAAAACTGGATGTGGAACAGAGATCGTCTTTGCAATTGCTGCACGAGTTGAGCAAATACTGTTGTTTGTTCTTTTTTCAAACTTTTGGTTTCTGTAAATGAATGAGGATTTGACAAGATTGTAACTGCTTCCGGATACTCTAGTTATTTTTTTTTCCCTTACTTGCCTTCACCTCCTTTAGTTGTGATTGTGATGATTTTAATGAACAGAATAATTGAGAAAGTGGCTCCACGAATTTGTGTTGTCGGTTAAGCCGGGTCTTGTGATGCGCTAAAATTTTTCGCACTTCATATTTGAAGAAGCGACATTTTGCCAGTCGTAACGAACAGTTTAGTCATTGCTTTTCGTTTGATTGCCACTTGATTCTTTTCTGCTGCTTTAATTGAGTTGGGTTTATCAATTTTTTCTGCTTTCTTCCCTCATTAGCTTTTTGTTGTGGCTTTTTACTGTCTTCTGCGGTAAGATTTTGGTTTTAGTCCAGATCTGCTGCTCACTGCTTCTCCTTTTTATCATAAGAAAGCACTTCGTAATGAAACAAAAATTAAGACTCTGACTGGCTGCTGACATAGTTCTAAGCTGTCTTGTTAGTTAAAGACTTAGTTAAGGATTACTGTCGGCAGCGTTTGGATGTTTACATTTTAGTGACTTAAAATTTAAAGTTTTTTGTTTTAATATAGAATTCGCATTTAGCTGCTTATTCGAATCTAAGCGGGAAACCCATTTTTAATCACTATTTCATTGGTAACAAATTACTCGGCAGAAAAATGGTCCTTATTTGTCATTTTTTCTCTACGAACTCGAGAAAAACAGTTTTCGTGAAGGTCACATTGCTACATTCAGTGGCGCGTTTCTGCCGCGATTTTACCTCTATCGCAGTTTCAGTTTGGCAGTTTGTATTCTACTTCCTTTTTAATCTACTAGAAAATTCTTTTCCGTACTTGCTTGCAGTGGGAGATATGAGAGTTTTTTACTTGCTTTTTTGAAAAAAGTAATTTAGATTTTTTGTGCACTTTATTATTTCTAGATGGATACCAGCTGGTTTTCAGGTATTAGAGGCTTGTTCTGAATAATGGTTGTGCAGGAGGGCGGTCTAGT